TATCTAAGGAATAAAGTCATGCTGGTATGCAGAGTGAGTTCACCTTCTGCAGCTCCAGCAGAGAACCTTTCCAGAGGCTTCATGCAAACGGGCGAGGCAGGCAGGCCGGCCTGCGGAAAGCAAACAGATCTTTTCCACTGGAGCCCAACATGTTGGCAGAAAGAGCATTCGGCCCCTGCTGGTGCTGTGCTGTGCGGCGCAGTGACGCAAAGCCACTGGAGTGGTTGAAGGATCTGATTCAGACATTTACACACAGATGTTTGGGTCTCTGCTGCTGCTGAGGGGAAACTTCCACACTTGATGAGAAATTATAGATTTTAGGGAACTTTCTAATTAACAATTTCTAATAGATGCAATCATACGCATGTTTTTTTTTTACTGAGAACCATTTTTTATAAAGTGGAGCCCCTCCATAACAAGTGATTATTATTTATCCCTCATTTTTTATATAAAGAAAGCTTGAAGATCATTTTAATGCAACATGTCTACACAGATGATTTCATAAAATAAATAAAAATAAGGATATAACCTCCAAATAGTCTAATAGTAGAGCAAAGCTGCTTTTTATAGGAGACAAAAAAATCCAAAAGAATTTCCTTGACAAAAAATGTTAATCTTAAATGTCGGAATTTCATAATTTTTATGTTAAAGTCATCATAATAATAAATAAATAAATTTGTAATTTGTTGATTTAGATACATCAATATATGATGCGGTTAAAAATGTTCTCTCTGCTCTTATGTTGACTTCGTTTTGAGAAAAATATTGAAATTAATAGTTTATGATCGATCACAAAAAGGCTTGTGCAACATTCTAATAAGATGAATGATTTTAAAATGAAACGCATCTGATAGTAAAATCCATGTGTTTTCCTCAAACGTCCTTGTTAATTAGCTGAAAGAATGCGCGAGATACGTTTGATTTGTTTTTATCAGCATATTTCCAGAGATTTAGTTTTGTAACCTGATTGTCTTTGCAAGAGAATCCGTTTTATTTTTACAACATTAATGATTTCATTACTTTTGAAATTGTCTCTAAAAAGTAAACAAAAATATATTCAATGATGCTTATATTATGGTATTTTGCATTAAGCTAAATAAGCAGGTCAGAGCTTCACAAAATAGATGTGACACCAACAGTCAGATGGCTCTGTGTACAAGGAAATTAAAGCCAGTTTTAGCAAAGCTCAGATTTACCCCATGCCAACCTATATATTAACCTTCTATTTGGTTAATCTTTGAAGGATGTTCTGATCTGATGTTGATATTGGAAATATCAGCCCTTAAAGCTACAGTGTGTAATTTTCAGCGACATCTAGCGGTCAGACTGCAGACTGCAGCAACATGAACGTCTCCCCCCCACCGCTTCTCCCCCCCAACAGTACGGCGAGCGTTACGGGACAAAATGTCTTCCACGACGTCCGCATCACCTACCTTCTCAAGTGATGAGGTTTGTTTACATAGATAATTTTACAGATAGTATTTCATTAGTCTGTGTAGGGTATAGATTTCATGTAGACTTTAGATAATAAATATACCCGTTATTTTTTCTACATCGTTGTGACGTTTTGGTGAGCTGCTTTGCATGGTGATATAAACAGACGAAGTAATTGTAGTCATTAGTTTAACAGCGAGATTGTGTTCGCTGGAAGAATATATATTCCCCGTTTACAGAGTCCAAGTCTTGTTTGTGGCACGGGGGTTACAAGGCGAGGAAGAGGGAGAGAAAGAGGGCGAGGAAGAGGGCAGAGAGTCCGGGGTGGGCGTGCAGCCAGGGCCAGGCGAGGGAGAGGTGCCAGCGGGGAGGAAAGGCTTGAAGATCTCCAAAGGAGCCGGAGAGAAGTAACCGAGGTATATATACAGAAAATTACTGAATCATTACCTGTGAAACGTCAGGAACGTTGCTGAATAAGTATACTGGAGAGTAACAGCATCATCACGCAGCATGTTATTGTTTTAGACAGGTCTGAGCATCCTGTACTCCAAAAACTGCAGTGATATTAGACAATTGTGTGTGTAGGATTAATTACCTTGCCAAGAGAAAACTGGCAACTTGAGCGTCACTTTGAAAACCTTTTTCCTCCATCAGTGACTTCCATCGTGTAAATGCCGTGCCAATGTTGATCCGTGTTTTTTGTCGTTTCTTGTCACGCTTGCGTTTATTCTCGTCGTGTTTCCGCTTCTTAGATGACGGGGGTTCGGTGTCCGCCGCTTTTCGTTGTGATACAGAGTAGGCATGATCCTCCATTCGTCTGATGTTTGGCCACACAGTGCCAAACAGTTTGCAAAGTCACTCAGGCCTGCCACCTTGTTCACCTTTCTTGTTACTGAGGCGCAGTATACCTGCTTCTTCTTCTTCTTTGGTTTCAGGCAGACTAAACGCTTCTCAGGCATAATACTGCCATCTACTGTTCAGTACCGTCTCAGTTAATCTCTCTCAACTTGCCGTAGTTACTTTCGAGCGTAATGGGAGATCTCGCAATCGCTAGTTTGTTGCCTCTGCGCTTGCCGTAGCGCAAAGATGTCTGCCTCCATGGCTGCGAGACCCGCTCCTATGTAATTATAAATAACGAATTCTAAGGCAACGCAAATATTATGGTTAAAAGGCTGAGCTCATAGGTGATGATAAATAACATAGTTATGTATAATATATTAAATTTCTGACTTTATATCCCTGTAATTATTACACACTGTAGCTTTAATTGTTATACCTGCTGTTTCTGATGCCTGTTCTCTGAGTAATGCCACTTAATCAAACCGTTTCTAACATCTCACAGCACAAAATGAGCAGATAAAGGATGTAGGATTCAAACTGATCTCAGGTCTGTCATGGTTTTGGTTCTGTTGTTCTTTACTTTGCTCCATGTTTCCTAGTTTTATTGGTTTAATTCCTATTTGTTGTAGTTTCTAGATTTATGTTAGTTCTCAGGGTTTTCTGTTGCCCTCTTGTGTGTGTATGTTCCTTTCCCCTTGGCTCCCTCGTTGTCTCCTCTCACACCTGCTCCTTGTCAGCTCGTTAGCCCTCCCTTTGTCTCTGTCAGCTATATATGCTCTCCCTCTGCTCTCACTCTTTGTTGGTTCCTTGTCTTTGCTGTCCTCCCATGCTGTTGTCCACCTACCTCGTCCCTCCCTGGCTCCTCGTGTTTGGTTTCCCCAGATGTCTCCTTAGTTCTGGTTTGATTTTTGATTATTAGTTGGGTTTTTGCATTCCTGCCTTGGTTTACTGTTTTGCCCCATTAAACTGCTAGAAATCTCCTCTGCATTTGGGTCCTCCAAACCTCATCCAAACCCTGTCAAGGTCATATCAGTATCAGTCAACACTAAAAGCTGCAATAATCATATCGAAAATGAAAAAGTTGTGTTTGGACTTCACTTTTGTTTTTACACATGTTCGTAATTAATCAAGCAAAAAAGCTTCTAAAAATGAGCAAACACCACAATTATGACAGAAAACTGAACTGTAATGGAAATATAATTGTGTATAACATTTAGCCTTTAATCAGATTTGAACCCAATTCCAATATCCATAACGCTTCCCTAATGAAAAGTCCTCGGGAAGTATAGCGTAGAGAGAGCGAGAGAGACACTTGCTCTTTTACTAACTACTAATTATGTTCCTAACAAGCTAAAGAAATACTTGACATGTGGCATCGATTAACGATAGGAAACCGGCCATGGATCTCTGATCAGTTCATCTCGAATCCTAAGAGATACCACTAGTGAGAATAGTTGAATCGTTTCTTCCTCCTTCTACATGGCCTAAAAACATTAGCAGCGCAAATAGACTGATCAAAATTGATCAGCGTTAGCATTAAAGAAAACAGATAACTTGTATGAGATGATCTCTAGCACAGAGCAGTAGAGGCTGACGGGTGAAGGAATCTCCATGTAGATGCTAAAAAGATCTTGGAACCAGCATAAAAAAAATAAAAACAAGAAAAAGGATGAAACTTTATCCTTCAAGGTTCTTAACCCTTTATCGGGCAAGTTACCATATTTGAGCACTTCCGGAGACCTTCTAAATGACGTCACTGCGGCCTCGCGCATACTTGTGGAGTCACGTGATTTGGCCCAGCCAATCAGCAGGGACTAAGCTTGTTACGGTTCGCGCCATTGCGCCGTTCGACCAATCAGCGCGTGTCTGTGACGCGCGAAACGTCAGTGTTTTCCCGGGAGCAGGAAATCACCACTTCACGGCTTGATTTCTCTAGCGTTTTCACTCGGCTCTCCAAAACTAACCATGGTAAGTTTATTAAACTTTCACATTACACGGTTGAGAAGTTGTACTAAATGATGACAGACATGTTTTTTTCGTGAGACTTTTGGAAATTGGCGAAATCATAGCATGAAAAACAGGGAGCACATATATGTGCATATGCCCAAAACAAGTAAAAACAGACCTGCATCAGTTTCGCCTACTTTAACTCATATGTTCTTTGTTTCTAAGCCACATTTTTGAGTTTCTGTTTACCAAACACGCATTATAACCAACAAATAATACATTAGAATCTTATCTGATGCTTTTAGAAGCTTTTATAATGATTTATTCACATATATATCTCACTTCTAAAGATTATATAGCTAAAAATGGTGAAAATAAGTGATTTTGGATGTTTTTGTATTATATTTTGTATCACTTAACTGTTATTTTATGTCTTAATAGTATTATTATTTATATTATTAATTGTTTATATTGAATAAGTGATATTATGACTAGTTTTAGTGCTTTTCAAGTATATGGCATATTATTATCCACATAATGACAGTAGCAGTAATAAAAATATACAATAATTATAATATTTTTCTGTTGCAGATTTCAACAAACATGTTTTATGGATGTTCCAGCCAACCCTGCCATCAGCGATGACGAAGAGGATGAGGAAGATGATGTGGAGGTCGATCCTGATTACATTCAATTTCAATTCAGTTTATTTATATAGCGCCAAATTCACAACACATGTCATCTCAAGGCACTTTACAGTTCAACCAGATCATACAGTCATTCCAGTCAGCCACAACCTGGACACTCCCACCACAAGTGAGATGAGTCCTCCTGCCAAGAGGAGACATGTGCAGCCTGCAGTGGAGGTGCTTCAGGATGGGGAAGATGAGGATGAAAATGAAGATCAAGATGAGCAGGTTATACCGCAAGCTAAGGGTCCCACTAAACCCAAACCCAGACCCACCACCTGGAGGAAAACCAAATTAAGAAATTCACCTCTGCCTGAGTACCAGCACTCTGCTCCCAACTTTATTGGGAAACCTTTTGTGTACTTTTTAAGATACTTTACCCCACAATTCATTAGCCACATAACTTATCACACCAACCTGTACGCCAGTCAAAAGGACATTAACACCACCTTCACCACCAATGAGGATGAGATGATGAAATTTGTAGGAATTCTCATCTACATGGGCATGGTAGAACTGCCATCTATAGATGACTACTGGGCCATGGACACCAGGGTTCCTCAGATTGCCAACATCATGTCATCAAAGAGGTTCAGGCTGCTCAGAAGGATGATCCACTTCAATGACAACACCCTTATCCCTGGCACCACTGACCGCTTCTTCAAGGTCCGGCCATTGTTCACCTTCCTCTGCAGTGCCTTCAGAAGTGAGGAGCAGACCCCGAAGCAGTCAGTGGATGAGGTGATGGTTGCCTTCAAAGGGAAGACAGCTGGGAACTTGAGGCAGTATATTAAAAACAAGCCTGACAAGTGGGGGTTTAAGTTGTTTGCCAGGGCCTCCGAGGATGGATTTATCCATGACATGGTCCTATACCAGGGCAAGACTACGCTGGAGGCCCATGGTGTCCCCCTGACACCTGAACAAAGAGCCTTGGGCGCCACCAGCCAGATTGTCTCTGTCCTGGCCAGTACCATGTCATCCTCCACCACAACAGCCATCTTCGCTGACAACTTTTTCACCAGCTTGGAGCTAGTCCGGTACCTCAAAACTCAGAACTGCAGGTAACAATTACTTTCTGTGAGTGAGTGAATGAATGATTACATTTATGTTGCACTTTACTGCTGGATATGTAACCCACTTACATTGGATCCATTATTCATCCATTCCATATTTATGTGTTCAGATACACAGGAACTGCAAGGGACAACAGAATTGGACATCCTCCCCTAAAGTCCATCACAGAGATGGAGAAAAAAGGTGTCCCTCGTGGGACCTGTCACTCCGTTGTCAGTGATGATGGGATCCTGGTCCTCAGGTGGAAGGACAATAAAGTTGTCACTCTGCTTTCGACAGACATGGGAGTGGAACCTCTGTCATCTGTCTACAGGTATTGTTTATTTTAGTTTTGTCTGATTGTGTTGTTCCTGTAGATGTCAGTGCTGCCTTTATATTTTTTTTTTTTACTTAGCCATTTATTTTCCTCCATTCATTTATATTTTTACACTTTTTATGGAGCTGTTACAACACCAAATTTCACTAATGGTGATCAATAAAACAAAATCGTGTTTTAGGTTCTCCAGTGAATCCAAAAAGAAGGAACCTGTGAGCTGTCCTGCAGTCATCAAAAGCTACAATTCCAACATGGGGGGGATTGACAAGAGCGACATGTTGGTGCACCTGTACCGCACCCCCATGAAGTCCAAGAGGTGGTATATACTCTGTTTGCATACACTATTGATCTGGCCATCTCAAATGCCTGGCTGATGTACAGGCGGGACTGCAAGGAACTGAAACTGGACAGCCAGTCTCTGAAAAGCTTCCGGATCGAGGTGTTCAAGCATGCCTCTAACCAAAGGCTGTCTGTAGTTCGCTCAGGAAGAAGCTCTGACAGTCTGAGAGCTGCCTTTGATGTTCCCAAGCCAGTCCGAGGACATCGCTGCTCCAACCCCACTGAGGCTGTGCGTTTCGACCACTCCGTGTTCCACGTTCCTGTCTACACTCATCGCCAAACATGCAAGTACTGCAGCACGAAAGACAACATTGCAAGGTCCAATGTTTTCTGCGGGGTTTGCAAGGTCCATCTCTGCCTAAATGCAACACGCAACTGCTTTGCTGAGTACCACAACCCTAAATAAAGATAGTCAATAGATATTTAGAAGGCAGTAAGGCACTGAACGTTCTAAAATACTGTGAAAGAACTTTATTTCACAGTATTTTGGAACATTCAGTGCCTTACTGCCTTCTCAACATAAATTTATGTTCTAAAATGCTGTGAAATAATCAAAGTTCTATTTATGTTGAGAAGGCACTAAGACACTGAATGTTCTAAAATACTGTGAAATAATAAAGTTTTATCTATGTTGAAAAGGCACTAAGCCACTGAATGTTCTAAAATACTGTGAAATAATAAAGTTTTATCTATGTTGAAAAGGCACTAAGCCACTGAATGTTCTAAAATACTGTAAAATTTTAAAGTTTTATTTATGTTGAAAAAGCACTAAAACACTGAAGGTTCTAAAATACTGTGAAATAATAAAGTTTTATTTATGTTGAAAAGGCACTAAGCCACTGAATGTTCTAAAATACTGTAAAATTTTAAAGTTTTATTTATGTTGAAAAAGCACTAAGACACTGAAGGTTCTAAAATACTGCAAAATGATAAAGTTCTATTTATGATGAGAAAGCAGTAAGGCACTGCAACATCCATCCATTGTTCTATTTTCCTATTATTATATTGTATTGTTATGAAATGTTACATTATACTCTATATTTAAAATATTCTGTCATGATTTTAGATGTTTTCTATGAAGTATTATCTTGTTAAAGTGGTTTCATAATGTTATTAAATGGTCTAAACAAATGTTTATTAAACTATTTCATGTTTTTTCAACAAATTCTATCTTGTGTTCTTTTTAGATTTTTTTTTACCAGAACGGGGCAAGTTACCATATATGATCACTTCGTTTCCTGTGATTTTCAGCATGAAAATGAAATTTTTTTAATAATGTAATTACAGATTATTATTATTGATATATACCACAATGACACCCTGAGATGGAAATTTAACATTTCAAAGTTTTTCAATGAGTGCCCTATAAAGGGTTAACCTCACTTTGTTTGCTTAAAACTCTATTCTAAGTGAAAGCGTTGCAACATGAACCGTCTGCGGCGGCCCGAGCCGCTACGGGCCGGCGGGGGCGCCTTGCAGTCAGACTAAACCATCAACAAGTGCCACCTAGAGAGCGAGGCCTCTGACGGCACCGCACGTCCCATACAGTCCGCTCTGATTCATGCTCTTCAAAAGGCATTGGGGGGGGGAACCTCACAACAGCTGCATGGTAAACTTCCCCCCCCAGTAAATCCACCATGACCAAAAGCCCTGAATCTCACCAAGAACAGGGAGGATGCAGGTGGCTGGACCAGAGTTTATTGCAACACATAGTTTCCAAGGAGCCAAAACAACAAGACCCCCCCCCCCCCCCCCCCCCCCCCCCCCCCCCCCCTACAAACACACACTCCTCCCTCCCTCCTTAAGGTCTCTGGATCTTACAGATAAGCAGCAGCGAGGGAGAGAGCGCTCGGAAACAGCTCCCTTTTCTTTTTTCCTCCACGCTCCGTTAGCATGGGGGCGAGGAAACTTTTTGTTTATGGTACAACACAGTGTTGCCATTAAGGCTCTAATCAAAGGTATTCTCTGCAGTCAGCCTTGAGTGACAGCCCCCCCTCCCTAGAGGGGGCAACACGAGGAGGAAGAGAAGGAGCGGGGAAACTGTGGGAATGTCTCTACATCGTCGCCGCGGCGGGCAGCTCCTCGACATGGCTTCAAATTAGGGGGGAAAAGAAAACACAGGCTAAAAAAAGCCGGCCGCCTGACTATATTCCTGCCTGCTAATTTGTCACCACTTGAAAACCGACGGGGGGAAAAAAATAGCAACCGTTTAAATCACGCCGCTTTAAAGCTGAGGGATGCCAGCCAGCGTGCATGGCAGAATACTTTAAAAAAATGGCGGGCGGGGGGGATTTAGGTCAGCTACGGCAAACTTACACATGCATTTAAATTATTGTGGCTGGATTCTGCGGAGGTCTGGCTGCATTCTTATTAGAGGGAAGCAGAAATGGAGAAGTGAGTGTCTGGCTGGCTGAGATCGGACCAGTGACAGCTGGGGCCTGAAAGCCTCACATCCAGAGCCAGGGCTCATAGCCACTTGCTACATAGCAGCGCTGAGCTAAACCCACCCGCTCCTTATTTTCTTTTTTTTTTTTTTGCAAGACCTCACCCTGAAAGATCACTGTCCTGAGGAGCAAAATTCTGCCAAATAATTCCTTCAAAAAACCTTTTGTGCTTTATCCAAAAAGCGGAAGGCAAGATGTTTGATCTTCCTCCCGCTCAGGCTGACAAAAGAAAGGGTCAGAAAAAGGGGGCGTCTGCGTGCGTTTGTGTGTGAGGGGCACCTTCTCCGGCAGCAGGGAGCAGCGGGGGACTCTGTGCTCCAATTTGACGATGGTGATGAAGGCGCTGTCTTGTCGCTCATCGTCGCTCGTGTTGCAGAGAGACAGAGGGTGATACTGTAGAGAGAAAACAGTAAACAAGATAAAGAAGCATTAATATTCCCACAATTTGTTTGACATTTTACTGTAAAAACAACATTTCTACAACGATAGATAGATAGATAGATACCTTTTGCAACATGACTTTAAACTGTTTTTTTACACTTTAAATGGTAATGTTCATTTCACTGCTGTAAGCTGCTCATTCACTGTTGAAAAGCTGTATGTATTGAAATTTTGCTTAGTATACACTGTGTGTATACAAGATGACGATAAAGTTTGTATAAATCTAAGTCTAAATACTGGATTCCCCTGTTCTCTGTTGTCCATCAGCACTGATAGGTTATGCCTTAGGATAATGGGAGACGCTAGTGATCATATTTACATTCATATGTATATGATTGATTGGCTTATATTCATGCTTTGGCCCGATGTCCACATCTAACCGCATTGGAGAAGACAAGGCTTTAAAAATGCTGCATTCCGAAACTCTTCGTTCGCATTTAGAAGGCAATGCAAGTTTATTTGTAAAGTGCAATGCAGTACATGGACAAGTGCTTTACATGAATTAGATGATAAAATATAAGAAGAATAAAAGCAAATTAAGGCCCCGTCCACACGAAGTCAAAACGAACACGAAACGCTAATATTTTCCAGAACGTTTGTCATAAAGACGGAGACGTAAAATAAATGTGATCGTCCACACGAATGCATGAAAACGCTGCAAAATGTATGCCAGGCCTGTAAGTGGCGCTGTGGTGCCAAAGCAAAAATAAGCGACGAAATGTTGGGCATGCGCACTAATATTTATACATGGTTGCCCTGCGGGTCCATTTTCGTGGTTCAGTCAAATTCAGGCGCTGAACTATGTCATCGATATTGCTCTGTTCTTCCTGGAGATATTCCAGAAGAAGATTCTGTTGTAAGCCCGACAGCAGGGTGAGTAGCATGAGCAGCAACCATTCAACACAGTACGGCGCCATTGTTGTTGTGATACTGTGTCGCACATGCGTGTTTAGAGTTTAGAGGCGACGCTATGACGCATGCGTGTAAGAAAAAAAAATGCGGTTAGAGCTTAAAGGATGAAACGCGAAAACGGCGTTTCAAAATCTTCTCACTCTGAAGGCTGAATAAAAAAAAGATCGTTTACAGACCCCCGAAACGCCGGCTTCGTGTGGATGAGAGGCTGGTTTGGTGAAAAATTTGTGCGTTTAGGCCAGGGGTCGGCTTCGTGTGGACGGGGCCTAAGATAAAAAAAAATATCAGGAAAACAATTGGACCACAACCTTAAACTGATAATACCCAGATGTGGCTTAGCACCACCTTTTCAACCCCTTTTCAGATTTTTCTCTTTTTAAATAGGGGAACCTATGGGTATTTTTCACCATGACTCATTATGAACACAACATATGTTGAAAAATAGAATCTTTCTAAGCATTAGAAGACATTTTTTAAAAAGACAAGCTAGAGGGAGTTTTTATCCCGACAGAACTAAAGTAAGAGGCGCTTGTGTCTGTGGGACTCTGACGCTTCTCCTTCATAAACCAATAAAATCAATTACATGGAAGTTAATGTTCACGCCCACACAAAGCCTTAAGGATCCAAGGAATGAGAGATAGGCCCTTTGGTAGGAACATTTGATCCCCTCTGAAAGGGAGGGAAACTGTAACTGCTGAAAGGCTGTATTTAACAGCTCAAGGGGATAGCTGCAGTGTTTGCAGGTCACAGGCATGCTGTCACGTGTCATAGAGGCAGCATTGCGCTGCATACCCCCCCTCCAATACAACTCTTCCCCTGATCGCTTCATGTTTTGGACTCCCAGGGCTCACCCTCCCCCCCGTCCCCCCCAGAGGTGCAATTCCACCCTTCCCCCTGGATTGTTTGGGGTCTGGCCTGGTCCGGAACGGTTCTGCCCCAATAGGCCCCTTCATGTGGCTGCGGGCCTCCCCCTCAACTTGCCCAGCGGAAATCTCCAAATTAAAAAGACCCAAGGGTGACATCAACAGCTGGCATCCCGGGGTTTGGGAATTGACGTAATGGGCTGCAAAGGGCTGGTGCATGTCTGTCAGGCGGAGGGAGGGAAAGGAGACACGAAGGAAAACAGACTTGGAAAACCGGACTGGGACAGCGAGATAAAAGGAAGGACCAGAAAAACAGCAGCAAGTCGCTGCTACTCACCATCTGGATTCCTACGGAAGCAGTAGAAGGTGGAAAGAGGCAGTTTCATAAATCAACCATTACAAGCCATCATCTAAGCTGCAAAGTTAGTGTTTTCCAACAGCCATCGTACATTAAACTTTAAAATTTCCATGGGTTGCACTTCCCTTTTCACAATGACAGCAGCTACTTAGGTCAGCTTTCAAAGATGAAACATCAGAAGGCGAATATGTATAAATATTCTGCAGTCTACATATAGAAAATAGTGCGTACATAAAGTGCATCAAGTGCCAGGTCGGTCTGTAATAGGCTGATTGGTGCGTTTGATTTTCAGTAGGAGTGTTTGAGGAAAGGTTGGTGAACTCCTGTTTGATTAGGACCTTTTTCACTAATGGATAGGCTAAAGTTTGCTTGAGTTCAGGGTATGTGTAAAAAAAATAAAATAAATAAAACAAAAAAAGGAAACCCCTTTATTGTCCCACAATAAGACATTTACCCTTAATTTGAGTAGATAAATGAGCCAATGGAATGAGTATTTTTACTCTTAATTTAAGATATTTAGATAAAATGCACTTGAAATAAGACAATGCAATTGTCTTTTCTTATTTTAACTGTAAATTGTATTGTTCCATTGGCAAAATGTCTCTTTTACCTTCTCAGTTCAAGAACAAATGCACTTAAGAACGTGGAAAGTAGGGTTGTGAATTTGGCTATACAATAGGTGCAATGATACACGAGTAATGTACAATTTATTACAATATATCGTGATACATTAACAAACATGATCTATGACAATTTTTATAATAAAACAGAATCGGAAATGGAAAACGTCACGAAATCTTGATGTTGCTCTACTGCAGAGTAACTGAATCAAAGGCTTTTGGGCAATGCTCTGCCAACTAGCAGCTAAAGGCTTAATAGTTATATAGAAGTAAGACAAGACAACATAGATTGTTTTTATATACATTTTTTATTTGGCTGCCTTTATTAATCAATAATAATACTCTTTAAAGAAATATGATAATTTTTTTATTAGACTAAAAAAATCACTGAAAATCAAAGGGAGTCAACAGATGGTCCTAACTATATATAGCAAGATAAGAATGTGTGAAGGTGGGAGTGTGTGGATGCAGAGGGGAGGGTACAGGTGTAATAGATCTCCATTACAGACTAAGATGAAGCTGTTCTGAAGTCTGTTGGCTTTAGATTTAATACTTTTGGACCCTTTTTCTGATGGAAATGGGACAAAAGGTTAGCCTGGGTGCCATTCCAAACTTAGTCCCGCCCACAACGTTTGAGGTTGGGAAGTTCGGTCTGGCATTGCTTAATAGTAGCGCGAGTATGCTCGCACAATATCTGGCGGGCCAATCAAATTGTCAGGGCGGGCTTTATACGATGATGGACAGATGATCAACAGTAACGTAATCAACCATATGACCAAAGCGCGCTTGGGTGACAACAACAATGGCTGTGTAGATTCTGCTATTAGATTCTGCTATTCTGCTATTAGGTCCGTTCTAGAAGATATCGACAGCAAATTAATTTTAAAAGAGGAACAGAGAAACGCGACCAAGGCTCATCTTCTTATTCTAGGCGTGCAACTGCACGCTTTGATTTTTGTTGACAACAACTATGCGTCGCTTAACATACGTCACGCACTCCGTTGCTCTTATTGGTTGTAGGTCTATCCAATTGAGTGCAGAGGCATTTTTTTTCCTGGTTCGTTCGAAACACGGCCCATAATCACAGCTCTATGGAGCAGCATCAGACTCATATTCTGACTAGAATTGAGTAGGACCACGTCAGGCTAACAAAAGGTCCCTTGCCCTGGTTGGTGGGATCTGTGGCAATGTCCTGAAACCGATGGCTTGTCCATTTATGACCCCGCTCTAACCGTCTCCACCTCGCCTGCTGTGGCTACAATCTAGCTCACCACTGTAGGCATTTTTGCACGACTGATTGTAGCATCACACACAGAAGTCCTTGGTTATTGCTAAAGCACTATACAAAAACAGCACTTTTACCACCTTCTGGAGACGTGCAGCAGAAACTAAGTTCAGATCCGTTAAGCGGTATCCCACAATGCCCTGTGTTGTCCTCACCACCCGGGATAAGTCTTTCCTTCAGAATCGGATCTTTGCCAGCTGCCAGAAATCTCAATTTACTAGGCTCAAATTAGAGGCCCGTAGTTGAACTTGGCTTTCAACAACAAAAAGTTCAGAAAAAAAAACTTTTATAGCCATGACTCCTGTGATGCCTTGACCTCCGCCCCTTTTTTGTGGCAGATTTGTAGGACATGCTAGAACAGAAAAACAATCAACAAGATGTTTTGGAATAAAAAGCTGAACTTGACAGTGTTTGGATCTCATTGTGACATTAAACAAGTTGCTACAAGACACTTTGCAATCACACCAAATAAAGGAGATAATAACCCCTACGCCGAGCCAAACAGGCTCAGAAGGAGTGGCTGCTTTTACTTTCTTCTGGCTTCCTCTGAGGCCAACCACCTATGTTATGCGTCTCAAACTACACCAGGCATTATCTTCTATTTTAGATGCACCCAGACCGCTTGCAATCAGAGGCTTGCGAATACTCTACATGTGCCACCGTTAGTGCAGTTTACCAGTCCGAGGCACGTTTGCTTGCTGGACTATAAACAGCAACAAGGACAGTCTGAAACGTCTTCATTTGGGTTTTTCTTTCTTTCTTTCATTCTTTTTTTTTTGTGGCCCTGACAAAACGGAGCCTGGGAAACCGAATCACTGAGTCTCCATTTCACAGAGACGAGAAACCACAGGCAACGCAAACTGTTCCCCACAGACTGTTAACAATGCAAACTCCTCTGTTCCGCCTCCTCCTCC